GTAGGTTCCACAATTCCAGGATTGGAAACAGAATTGTTCATCACTTTTCTCCGGCCTTCTTCCTGGCGAATTGCAGAGAAGACTTCCCTAATGGAAGGCAGAGGTGTTCTGCCTAGAAGACGCCCCTTAATCTCATCAAATTCATGGTTAATTCCTGCCAAAAACATAAAGACACGATCATTCTCCTCTCTTAAGCGAAATCTAGCCAAATCCCGAGGGTTCTCCCACTGGTCATTGTAGCACAGATCCAATTCTTGCCACATTGAAAGCATCTCATTGTAGTATGATGTTGCATCTTTATCACCCTGCTTGGACAGCCACAATTTCTTTTTTAATTCGAAGATTTGAGAAGAACTGTGTAAATTTGAATAGGTCTCTCTAAGAGCTTCCCATATTTCCTTGGCTTCCATGAACATATACGGACGACGAATGGACTCCTCCATTGAATTGAGTAGCCATGTCGTGATTAGTGAATTATCTGAACGCCAACGACGAAAAGCTGGATCCTTCTCCTCTGGTGGTTTTGTTTCTCCTGTTAAGAAACCTAATTTACCCCTGCCATCTATGGCAAGTTTCACAGACTGGGCCCATTCAAGAAAATTTCTGCCATTCAAACGAATAACAGTAATTTGGAGAGAATTGTGGCTTCCTGTCTCTAGATTGGTTTGAACAGGTAGGCTAGTAACATCAGAAGAAGAAGACATTGTATATTTACCCGATTAGGAGAAAAGAATGGTTAAACCAGAAAGGAAAGGATACGAAAAAATACTTAAGAGAAGGGAAGGTTATTCAGAAAGATTCTGAAGGAACAATGAAGGGAAGGTGTCTCTCAAATCTCCAGGTAAACAAACCTGGCTCTGATACCATGTAGTTTAGAGAGAAAAAGAATAATCTCTTTTGTATTTTGAATAATCGGAATACAATGTATATTTATAATACAGAGCCTAACTAATTCTACTAAACAAATCTCTAGATTACAGTAAAGCCTAACTAATTCTAGTAAACAGATCTAAACAAATTTAATTCTGTACATAAGCTTCCTAGAAAATAGGAACTAACTACCTAATATTATTCGACAAAAACCAATAATTTAAACAAAACTTTATGTTAAATGAAGTTAAAATCTTACACCTAAATCTGAGAATCCGTTTTATAACTTGTCAAATCAAAAGATTAAAATCTTTACGTCATATATGTTTAAAAGGTGTGATTTTCATACATGAACTAGGTTTTAAAATCCAATAAAACCAAATAGTAGCAAATAAAAATCAAATAAAAATGGGGATGAGATTGGGGAAGATGAAACTCGCTTCAAAACGTACTGAACTCCCCAAATATGCAAGAAACACGAGCCTCTTTCGTCAAAATTCCACGATCTCACCCTCTTGATTTTTGCTTCTCAAAGCTCTCAAAATTCACCAAAGTAGGTTCTAGGGTTTTGAGGGGAGAGGTTGGCTGATAGTTCACGTGGAAGATGATGAAAAACAGGAGAAACATCGGATTTATATACTTATATACATAAACAGACCGAACCAAAACAAAACTGACCCGAAAATAGAACTCAGGTTCGTGCACCCGTCGGTCGATCAGTCGACTGGTAAGCTCCTATCAGTCGGCCGACCAGTGGCTAATTTTCAGCCAACTGATCCATCATATATGCATGTTTACGCTTGTATATTTACACTTACATATACGTACTCGATCTCAATCGATCACTATCATACTCATTAATAGTATCAAACATGATAAAAATTATTTAATATTATTTTTCATAATATATTTTCAAAATTTACGGGGTTTTACAGGAAATAAGCAGAGGTGATAGTTTAAGAATGCTTGATGCAACAAATACTGGTTTCACCAAGATCAAACTGTTCCTTCGTGTAAAGGTTGGAAGAATCCTTCAAAGTGCTTGAAGTTCTCAACAAGTTGTTAGTTACAGAAGAAAACGCGCAAGTAAACAATAATAATCAACAAGATGAACACAAGGATAATCAGGCGATTTCATCTAAGCTACATCCACCTGCCCAGTGCTTGCCTGGGAGTTCCTATCCACTATAATAAGCTTTCCCACGAAGCTTAACAAATCACACTGCAGCCTTTAAAAGTGAAGTTGGACTTCTACTTACAAATACATAAACAAGTCCACCTTTTCCAGCTAAGCGTACAAATAGATAACAATAAATTTCTTTTTCCTCTTCATTGTCACCAGATCAAGAACTCAGTTTAACCATAATCTCTTTCTCACTATCAAGTCTAAATGAGACTTCTAGAGAGCATTTGATGAGTGAGTCACAACGCCTGTCACTAAGAAGAACCAATATATTCCTCTAAAGTAATAAATGAAGTGTTAGTATCTTCTTCAGGAATCTCAGAACTTCTCAAGAATTGAATGTAAAAGTTTAAAGCTCAAAAGTGAAGTCTTTAGAATGGAGAAGTTAAAGCTCAAGGAATGTGGTATGTAGTATTGAATGTATGTATTTTCTTTTTCCTTAAAAAAGCTCATTATGGGATATAAATATAGAAGGCAAGAACCAACAAAACAATACGACGTGAATTCTTTGTGTTGAGAAATTTTGCAGCTGTTAAGAGATATGGCTACCTTGGTAAGGCAAGAGAGTTGATGGTACTTGCATTAAATGGAAGAGATTTTTATCATGAGAGATCCCATACGATAATGCAAGATCTCTTATAAACAAAAAATACGCTCAAGAGGAAAAGCATTGGAGTAATAAATAATTTAATCCATGTTGTAAAAGAGGCAGGTCAAGTTTTAGTGTGAAAATATTTTGGTTCAGAAGGCTGGAACTTGAGCAAGTGTATTTTGCCTCACAAAATGAATTTCAGGAGGATTGTAGTAAAGGTTTGTGAATGGAAGAACTGATGCCTAAGTTGGAAGATCAACGTAGACAGATTTAAAATGAAATCCTAAGTGTCGATAAATTAACTCATCAAATAGCCTTTACATATAATCTTATGGAGTAAAAATAAAGACACATACTGACAAGAAACCTTCTCCATAAATGAATATTTCTTTGAAATCCTTTGACAGAATTGATGCCTCTTGTATGTATTGTGATTTGCTCATTATCCAAGTTCAGCTATGGTGAATTATAGAGCTTTTGATCATCCTTCATTCTTGCGTAGATTTTTTGAGATGTCAGTATGATATTCTAAACAAGATAACAATTAGTATAACTTTGATTTTGTTTAACAAAATACGGGGTTCACAATTGCATCTGCAAATAACAAATTTTTTGTTGGTGTTTCCTTAAGAAGTATACAATTGATTATATCTAACTATTGCATTTTAGTCAAACAGAAAAGTTCTCCATGATAGACAATTTTATAGCACTATATTTGCTTTTATTGTTATTCTTGAAGTTTTTAGGACTTTAAGGGCAAGTTCTTATACATTCACCCAACTAATCTGCAGATAACCCCCCACCCCACCCAAAAAAAAAAGAAAAAAAAAACCAACAGATCACTCACACACAATTTGTTTTTTTAATAAAATACATAGAAGAGAAAGTACAGTAGAGTCAGAATGAAAAAAAACCCGTCGTTTTTCCTTTCTTATTACATGGGGTACGTTCTATTGTATATTCCAGTTTTGTACTTTCCTTGAAATTTCTTAACTGTTTATGGTAGGGGTAGCTATTTGTTGCTTGCAGATAGTCATCATTCCGGTTTCCACATTAAAGGATGCAGGCTATTGTTGGTTCATTGACTTTTTTTTGTCAATTATTGATATACATTTCCAAATCAATTAACTTGGTCCTTGCTGGAAAGTTGATTTATCTAACTATTACTGGATCATACATCTCCTCTGTTGTTGGTCTTGGAGAAATCCATGAATTGTCACCTTTATAAAAAGTTAAAAACATCTTTAAGTCATTTCCTTCTCCTTTTCCTCATTGCTCTTGAGCCAAACACTTCTTTAGAAGTTGTACGTAATAAACTGGTAAATTAATCTAGGAGCCCACTATTGTTGGTAAAACAATCTAACTAGTGTGGATGCTGCTGCTTAGGGAATGATTTGCTTGGGTTTCCCTGAATTTTACTATGAGTTTACATGTTGTTAAGTTTATGGAGCGTCTAATAGCCTTCCATTATGGCAGTGCTAGATATTGTCACGTGCAATAGTGCTTATTCAACTCTGACCAAGTTGGACTTTCATTAGCTGTTAAATCTAAATTGCCATCAACAGTAACACTAATCGTTTTCATTATCAAAGACTGCACCGGCAGGTGAATGGAGGCTGGGCAAAACTCTCCATTTGTTCTTTATACCAGAAGTTCATTGAACATATATCAGGAGTTTGATTTGATTATAAAATGTGGACCAAAGGTAACCCTATATGAATTGTTATTAAGCGCAGACAAGAGACACTCTTGACAAGTCATAGCTACAAGGGAGAGCTGATCCTTACGAGTTACAAGCTGTCTGAAAGAGTACAACACTTTATGTATACGGGAAACAGAATGTCTAATTGTCTATAGGTATCAGCAAAGAAAATTCACAACTAAGCTCGTGTTTGCATGACTAGCTCCTCACATCTTAAATAATTTCCCTAGGTTATGCTGATTAGTAATAAAATTTTTTTGAGGATGAAGGATATATTTCATGATTTTTCTTTCCGAGCAAACACATTTTTTTTAGTTGCGTGTAAACTATACTTTATGTGACGTCAGCGCACATGAGTACCTTATAATTGAAGACAAGTATGTTGAATGTAAATAGCGTAGTTACTGGGTTCATACTCTTATTGTGATCCCCAACTTAAGATTTTGATTTTGTATTCTTGTTACTTGGTGTTTTTCCTTCTCATAGAAGAATAAAAATCTTATTGATGTACGAAAGTTTATTGTGACCCCGAATGACCTATGCTTCTCAATTCTTTAATACATGACAAATCAGGATGGCAATTTGTGTGTACATGTATCTGTTAACCCCTTTTAGAATGCTTGATTCTTTCTGACATGTTTACTGAATTCTAGGTTCAAGCTGCACCCCGTATTTTTGAGGCGCCAGTGCCATTACAAAATTCAGCTCTTGTACATGAAGATCCTAGCTTAAACTATTACAAGGAACTTCAGGATGACCAATGGATTAGAACTACAGATTTCACTCCACTGTGTAGCATAGGGCAATCTTTTGCTCTATGTTTGGAGCTACCATATGGGTGCCGTCTTCCTGATTTTCATGATTTTTTGTATTTTAAAAAAGTCGTCAGTCATTTCAATTTGAAGAGGACACACTCTTACTCTCGAAATTCAGATCTAGTCCCCATCATTGAACCTTGGAATGCTATCGAAATCCCATACAAGTTCCTGTTCAAGATAAATACTTTAGTTCAAAATGGGACACTGATGGGACCCACGCTAAATGATGAGTTTTTTCGCTACATTAGTCCTTTGAGATATCCTATTGGTTTTATAGAGTATGCCCTTGGGAAAATGGCCCGTTGGACCACCTCAAACTTCAATCCTGCAAAATGGCTAAATGATCAGTACGTAGCATATAAGAAGTCAAATATCCAACCACCCTCACCAGAGATTTCTGATACTGGCTTGGTTTATATTCACAGGGTTCAAATAACCCCATCCAAAGTTTATTTTTTTGGACCTGAGATCAATGTCTCTAATCGTGTAATACGCCATTATTCTGAAGATATTGATAATTTTATCAGGGTTTCTTTTGTTGAGGAGGATTCTGGTAAAATTCGTTCATCAGATTTAGCACCTCGTTCTTCTGATGAGAAGCGCACTAAAATTTACAAGAGAATACTGAATGTACTAAAAAATGGCATTATTATTGGTGATAAGAAATTTGAGTTTCTAGCCTTTTCGTCTAGCCAATTACGAGATAATTCTGCATGGATGTTTGCTTCAAAGGGGGCATTAACTGCAGCTGGTATCAGAACATGGCTGGGTGATTTTACCAAGATAAGAAATGTAGCTAAATATGCTGCAAGACTGGGACAATCTTTCAGTTCCTCCACAGAAACTTTGACTGTTCGTAGAGATGAAATCGAGATTATTCATGACATAGAAAATGCTGCAGGATATTTGTTCTCTGATGGTATTGGGAAAATTTCTGCTGAGTTTGCTAGAAGAGTTGCAATTAAATGCGGCTTAAAAAGCTCAACACCTTCAGCATTTCAAATCCGATATGGAGGCTACAAAGGTGTTGTGGCTGTTGACCCAACATCTTTGAAGAAGCTTTCTCTGCGAAAAAGCATGTCCAAGTTTGAGTCTGAGAACATAAAACTTGATGTCCTTGCATACACTAAATATCAGCCATGTTTCCTTAATCGGCAGCTGATAACTCTTCTTTCAACCCTTGGAGTTAAAGATGAGGTGTTCCAAATGAAGCAAGATGAAATTGTTAAGCAATTGGATGAGATCTTAACTGATCCAGAAAGAGCACTTGAAGCAATTGAGCTAATGTTTCCAGGAGAAACAACTAATATTCTCAGGGAGATGCTGTTGTGTGGTTATAAACCTGATTCAGAACCATTCCTTTCAATGCATCTGCAAACATTTAGGGCATCAAAGCTATTGGAACTGAGAACAAAATCAAGGATATTTGTTCCCAAAGGGAGAGCAATGATGGGGTGCTTGGATGAAACTAGAACATTGGAATATGGGCAGGTCTTTGTTCAGTTTTCTCGCAATGGACATTATAATCTTGCTAATAGTGAATCAGACCACCGGAAGGTTGTGCTGACAGGGAACATAGTTGTTGCTAAGAATCCCTGCCTCCACCCTGGTGATATCCGCGTCTTATTGGCTGTTGACATTCCCGCTCTGCATCATATGGTTGACTGCGTGGTTTTCCCACAGAAAGGGAAAAGGTCAGATGTACTTTCATTAGATTTTATCTTCTTTGAAATTTATGATTGTTATTCTCCTTCTATGATATTACTTCTGTTGGTAACTCAACTGACTCAATTTTGCACCGCATTGTACTTCAGTGCCTGATTTCTGAATGCATGTCTTCTCTTCATTGAACAGGTGTTCTGTTATCTTGAAATATAATTTGTAAACTGTTCTCGAATTATCATAACTAAGCATGAAATTACACAAATTGCAGTTAGAGTAAGCAAACAGCCGTCTTCTTTACGACTACTGTGTACGAATGAAGAAAATTAGACCTAGACAGAATACAGAGTTGTTTGTTCTACTATTCATTTTCTCTAACTATTATTATTTTTCCTAGGTAACTCACTTTTTATTTGTTGATCCATTTTGGTGTTTCTGGCTATCCATAGCATATTTGAAACTAGGCTGGTAAATAAGCCAGTATTGTATCTGAATTTTGGTCATTGAATGGGCGTATACTTGGTATATACAGTACTTCAACCATGTGATAAAAACAAGATGATATCAAAATTAATTAGATAACCTCTTGAAGCATGGATGTTTTTATCTCTGATAACAAGGTCCAAACCGAAGTCACCACTGTTGATTTCCATGACAAACACTTATGTTTATGTCTAACCATGTCACATAAAAAGTGATTTACTATTTAAAATCTCGGTTATCATGCTGGTTGTGAGATAGAGCAGGTTGCTGTCCATAGAACTAAAATGGCATGTCAGCAAGTGCTTATGATGTGTTCTTATTATACCCATCAAATTGAGAGCATGTTCAGATGGGTCAATTGATTTTAGCTGAAGTGGGAAAAGTTCAGACGGATTAATGTGCTAGCAAAAGGAAATGGAACATATAAAATTCTTAAGAACATGGGAGGCAAACTTCATTTGACAAATAGTAAAGAAGAATTGGTGAAGACAGTGAGGATAAAGTGAGCTAGCTACGGGATAGTAGGACCATTTTTATAGAGAAGGAAGTTGATAGGAGAAGGCCTCAACAAATATGGATTGAAGTGGACATGCTTGTAGTTTAACAGAGGAGATGTCCTATAAGAAATTTGAATAAAGTAAAAAAGATTCATATTGCTCGACCAAAACATCAGAGTGTTGGTTTTGTTCTTGTTGTAAACATTTTATTTGTAGATTGAAACATTGTGAGTGCATCATAGACACATTTTGAGTGCAGCAGACTCCCTCTTGGAGTGCACCTAGTCCCTCCATCTTAGGATTCTCATTGTCATTGGACTATCTTAGACTTGATCATGGGATGTATAGTCTCTCCTTCCTTTCATCCTTCAGAGGTAAAGCATGCCTCTTTTTGTGATATCTTGCATCTTTTATGTATATTGAAGATAAACCTTTTGATGTTTGAAGATCAGGAAACCAATCATGTTTTTGAATTACCATATGGGGATCTGAATATTTGCTTGAAGTAAAGTCAATTACAAAATAGGATGGCTGAACTAGTTTCCTAGATGAGTTGGTGACTGGAGCAAAACTGGAGGACATAGGCCCATTGACAGTCCAATGTGGTCTATTTGGTCGCGGGTTCATTTTTCAGGAGACTGTTGGCTGGTCGACAATCAAGTACTCAAGTTCCTCTCACAATTAAGCTGGTAGCATATTATGATAGACCACCGTTTCTGAGTTGTGGGGGTCAATCTTCAGAAACTTAGATGAATCAGTTTGATGCTTTGGAGGCTATATGTGATACATTTAGACTTGTGCGAATGTGGAATGCAACACAAACTCAGTTAGAATTACCGTATGGGGATCTGCTTTTTCAAAATTCAAGGTCATCCTCACTACTACTGTGAGGTTCTCCCCTCTTATAGAGAGATACACAGATAGAATCCAGAACCAGAGGGTTCCTTGTTGGTTAGAGTTCCTCTATTCGTTAACAATGACGTGTTGTCTTTTTCGTATTTACTATAGGCTTTCTTATTTACTAATGGTCTACAATGAAATTTCTTTTATCTGGTGAGAGTTTTATTGTTGATGCTTTGATTGTTGATCATCTTTGTAAAAACTTTTGTTTTTTCTATTATTGAAATCTGGTAAGGACGCCTTTACTATTTGTTACATTCTCAATTGTTTTTGCACATGAACATAGGCTGATTTTAACCGAATCATGTATATCATGGTTCCTTCACTTTGTTATTTCTTTCCTCATTGCTATGCTCAGGACCTCTCTCATATGCATAATGGTATTTTATTAAGATTGGCCTTTTTGCTGCACTGATCCTCAAAAAATTTAATGGTGATGATGGCTTTTTAAACTTGTTTTTGTCTATGTAGGGTTATACTCGTCTCACTATCATGATATTCTCTCATCTTGAAAGCCTTTGTTGCTTTCAGACAATCATCTGGTGTATCCTGTTCTTCTAATCTGGTCTCTTTCATTGAATCTGCTTTGTAGACGGAGTAGAAGTCCGTCAATTTTTAGGGTAGGTACAGGTTGTACATGTGCATATGCACTCTATGCGCTAACAAACATTTCACTACCACCACAATAGCACAAAATTAATTGGCCTTGAGTTAGGTTTGAATGGAAGTCTCTTGTAATAGGGTACAAGTGGAAGTACTTCCTTTGTAATCAACAATTGTGAGTATGAAATATTCTACCTGCATAATTACAAGATCAACTTGATTATTGGATTCATATATCTGTAGATTAAGTAGTAGTGCATATGGTTCCAAAACTGTCTATATCCTGTGGTCTACCCTACTATTCTCATCCAAACTATACTCGGTTTCTAGATATTAAAGAAGTTTGTTTGAACATATATTTAAAATTGTAACTATGTCATGTTTACTTTCCTATAAATAAAAGTTGAATATCCCTCCTTGAGATTTTGCCTAACCTAACATGACATCAGAGAATAATGTAAAATCCATCTTGCTTAGTCTTGCATGGTTACTTGGCTGTTCCGGAAAACCTTATTGATATATAAGTGCAAAAATTTAGAAAGAGAAAAAAAAATTCACATTGTTTTTGCATTTTGAATACAATATACAAAAAGGTGTGTATACTCTAAATACACGCAGTCTTTTTCTTTGGTTTTTCTTAAAACATATGTAGTAGAACATGCTTCCTCAAAGGCTAAGATTATATATGTTATCTTTTGTTGTTGCATGGTATATGAAATTCCCAGCTGCTAATTTTATAGCACGTACAGCTATTTCAGTTTCACGGATGTCTTGTTTAAGGTATATTAATGTCTTTCTCTGTTTGACATCAGTGCAATGGTATTTGTTTACAATGTTGGTCGTTGCTTTCTTACAGGCCCCACCCAAACGAGTGCTCTGGGAGTGATTTAGATGGGGATATATATTTCGTAACCTGGGACCTTGCACTTATTCCACCTCGTGAAGTCTCACCTATGGAATACACACCAGCACCGGCTGAAACCCTAGATCATGATGTTACAATTGAGGTAGTACTCTAACATTCTAGTTGTGCCTTTCATGAGTTGTCTCCTATTTCCTTCTGCTTCTTTACATATTGGACTTCATTATACCTGTTAAGAGAGAGGCGTTCTCTTTTTTTTTTTGTTAGGGATTGAAAATGAATTTTTTGTATAATTTCAACAAATTAAAATAATACACTACAGTACTTCCATTCTCAATTCTTAGAATATTAGGGAGGCAGTTTGAGCAGATAACCAATATAGCTTACATTAAAACAATTCTAGGGTTATCGATTGAAAGAGACCGGGATCCAAAATTTTCTAATCACAGGTGATTATGTGAAGGAATCATATAGGAATTCAAATGAGGAGAAAAAGGTCTGGAAGATTCATTGTAATGAAAAGGAATAAGAAATATAAAGAAGTATCTGAAAAGTTAATCACTTTATATTTAGTAATTATCCAATTAATCATCATAATCTAAACCTATCCAATGTGGTACTTTACTCACATATGAATTTCCAAAAATTTTCCCCTTTTGTGGAGTATAGCTCAGCGGTTTAGGCAAACCGAGGGCCCTCCATCTCCATGGAATTCATATTGCACAATCATCACGCCACTAGTCACTGGCAAACATTAACTATGAAGTTGGTAATTCATTTAGGGAGCGTTTGGCAACTGGGGCGTTTTTGTTGTTTCTGTTAAAAAAAACAATAAAACGCGTTTAGTAAACGTTGTTTTTTTACCTGACCCTTTACAAAACCAAAAAATAGACGCTTTTCTTAAAATACCAAAAATGTGTTTTGAGATCCCATTTTTTTTCACCTAAGCTGGCCTACCACCGTTGCTATATAAATGGTCAAACTAGTTTGACTAATAACTTTTAAAATATTGTTTTCAAAACACTTCTGAAAAAAAATACCATGGCATGATGTTTTTCTACAAAAACACAACATAAAAATCACCTTGATTACCAAACACACCCCAAGCTATACCAAACACCATTTACTTAGTAAAATTTGACTAGAATTAGATCATAACTGAAACTATACTTGTTAACTTATAAATGTTGATTTTTTCCATACTTCTAATTAGTCAACTCTTCTTATTGTTTGTATGAGAAATCACACTTAGAATAAGATTTATATTTCTGAAATAACTGATATTTGATTTACTTTGTTGTTCATTTAGGTACGTTCTTACACGCAAGATGATTTTATCATTATTTTTGAAAAATTCAAGTTAAAACTTAATAAATGTAATTCCTAATATAGATTAATTTTGTATTCTCAAAAACTGTGTAAATGGCGAAAAATTATTTATTTAATTATTCTTTTTTGGGAAAATTGTGTCAAGATCCTAATTTTTAGAACCTCATGTGACCAACCCCTTCAATCTTTTTCCCATGTGATTCAGCCCTCAAAATCCAAATCTATATGATTCAGCCCTTAGTCATTATTCTCTGCCAACTAAGCACAGAGAGATAAAGAAAAACAAAAAATCCCAAAATACCCTTATCTTCTTTATTCTTTTCTCTCTAGATCTAATGGTCATGGCTCATCTCCTCCCCTCTCCTAACCTATCTTCTTCCTCCTCTCTCCCTCTTCCTCCTTTTTCTCTCAGACACCGATGTCACCCTCCGTCACCACTGAACTTAAGTGCACGCTCCAGCCATATTGTTAATCTGGGGGTAATATTACTTAGAAGAACTCAATATTATTCACTATTTCTCCCGCAAAATTTCCTCGCTCTCTTTCTTCTTCTCCCCCCACCCAAAACCAAAAAGCCCAAGTTTATCCAGCAATGACAATGGCGAAACGCTCGAATTCGTTAGAGTTCTCATCGGAGGATCGGTCAAACAACAGATCGGTCTCCGACACTGAAGGCGAAATGGTGGTGAAGAACGAGGCGGAGGAGGCTGTGCTGAAGGAGGATGAGGAGGAGCTCCAAGTCGTCACAAGTTCCACAAGACCTCTATTGATTTTTTTTAAAAAATTGTAATTTCTGTTTGAACATTGTGGAAAGATAAAAATTTAAAGAAATACCGGCTAATTCTGATTTCTTAATAGATTTTAATGTTATGTTCAAGTCCAAATAAGTTATCGAATTTTTTGATGTGAACTTTAATATTTATGATAAGCCTAATGAGTTATAACTTAAGTCTAAGGGCTTTTATGTTAAGTCATTGGGGTTGAATAATAAGCCTAAATGTTGGATGTTAAGTGTAATTGATTATATGTTATGTCTAATTTCTGGTAATGTTAACTGCAAGTGAGAACATGCTTAGTCCAAAGTGATCTATGTTAAGTCCAATCTATAGTATATTACTTGCAAGTCGTTATATGTTAAATCCAAAGCGTTATATGTTAATTAATTTGTAATATGTTAACTGTAAGTCGTTACGTGTTAAGTCTAAAGCATTGTATGTTAACTCTAATTTGTAATATGTTAAATGCAAGTCATTAGATGTTTAGTCCAAAGCATTCTACGTTAAGTCCAAATTTTAGTATGTTAACTTCAAGTTGTTACATGTTAAGTCTAAAGCGTGGTATGTTAATTCTAATTTGTGTTTTGTCAAGTCTAACTCTATTCAATGTTAACTCAAATTAGATTTAACATGTAACAAATTACGCATAATATTAAATAAATTAGACTTATTATTCAGCCAAATAGACTTAACATATAATTTTTGATGTTAAGTTCAAGTCCAAGGTGGAATATTAAGTCTAATAAGTTGAAAGTGAAGTCCAAGGCTTGTATATTAAGTCTATTATTCAGCCCAATAGACTTAACATATTTTTGATGTTAAGTTCAAGTCCAAGGTGGAATATTAAGTCTAATAAGTTGAAAGTAAAGTCCAAGGGCTTGTATATTAAGTCTATTAGGTTGAATAATAAGTCCAATGTCTAATTTGTTTAATATTATATATATTTTGTTACATGTTATGTCTAATTTGAGTTAACATTGAACATATTTAGACTTGACAACACACAAATTAGAATTAACATACCACGTTTTATACTTACCATGTAAGGACTTGAAGTTAACATACTACAAATTAGAGTTAACGTAGAACGCTTTGGACTTAACATGTAACAATTTGTAGTTAATATATTACAAATTAGAGTTAACAGACAACGCTTTGGACCTAACATGTAATGACTTGCAGTTAACATATTACAAATTAGCGTTAACATACAATGCTTTGGATTTAACATGCAACGACTTGCAGTTAACATACTAGAAATTGGACTTAACATAGAACGCTTTGGACTTAACATGTTCTCACTTGCAGTTAACTAACTAGAAATTAGACGTAACATATAATTAATTACACTTAACATACTACCTTTAAGCTTATTATTCAACCTAAATCACCTAACATGAAAGCCTTTAGACTTAAGTTGCAACTTATTAGACTTAACGCCATAAATATTGAACTTCACATCAGAAAATCTGATAACTTACTTGGACTTTAACTTAACATAAAAAATTATAAAAAAAATCACATTTAGTCGGTAGTTTTTTAAAATTTTATCTTTCTGTGTTGTTCAAATAGAAATTACAAATTTCTTTAAAAAACCAATAGCTTAGAGATCTTGTAGTGCGACAACCTCGAGCTCCTCCTCATCCTTGTCCAGAATTGCCTCCTTCGCCACCTCTTCACCTTCAGTGTCGGAGACTGATCTGTTGTTTGATGGATCCTTCGATAAGAACTTTGACAAATTCGTGGGTTTCGCCATTGACATTGCCAGCCAAATTTGAATTTTTTTTTGGTTTTGAGGGGAAAAGAAAGAGAGAACGGGGAAAATAGGTAGGAGTAAAAAAGAGCAAATAATATTGAGTTTTTCTAAGTAATATTATCCCCAAATCAACAATATGACCGGAGCATGAACCTAAGTTCGGTGGTGACGAAGGGGATGTCAGTGTTTGAAAGAAAAAAGAGGAGAGGGAGAGGAGGAAGAAGATGGGTTAGGAGAGAGGAGGAGCCATGACCATTAGTGTAACGCCCCGCCCCGGAATCCCGGAGCCGGTACGCTATTAGATCTGATGGACTAGCCTCACAAACCACCACATGTCTTTTCAGCACGTTTTGTCCTGTCCTCACTCACGCGCTCCCTGAAAAACTTTCCAGGGGGTTACCCATCCTAGAATTTCTCCAGGCCAAGCACGCTTAACTTTGGAGTTTCTAAGAGTTGGGTTCCCGAAAAAAAGATGCATCTTGGTGGTATGAGTATTCCAATCAAATCTATTAATACTAATCACATCACCCTCTCAAGGGTTGGGGTATTACAATTAGATCTGGAGAGAGAAGAATGGAAGAGATAATGGCATTTTAGATTTTTTTTGTTTTCTCTCTCTCGCTGGTTAGTTGGCAGGGAATGATGACTAACTAAGGGCTCAATCATATAGATTTGGATTTAGAGGGTTGAATCACGTGGGAAAAAGGTTAGAGGGGTTGGTCACATGAAGTTTTAAAAATTGGGATATTGACACAATTTTCCCTTCTTTTTTCCTATTATTAACTCCAATCACTTTTTAAGATTAAAATCCACTTGCTCTGACTAAAAATATAATAGCTCTTAATTAACCTAGTGACTAACATTTATTATGTTTTTAAATTTAAAGAAATTTAATCTAAGAAAAGTATATAGGTACCTAGTTAATAGGTAGTTAGCAAGGCCTTTATTATTTTTTGATTTTTTTACTGCTCTTAGTGAAAATATCTTCTACCACTTTTGGTGGATGTAGGACATTGTGCCAAACAATGTAAATTGGTTTATCTGTTACTATGATGTGATTCTTGTCATCTATTTATCTTTGTTTTTTAAGATCTATGTTTATTGCTCTATCCATAACAGTATTGGCCTCTAAAGAAGATGAAATTATCTGTGATGGGATAATTTATCTGATATTTGAAGGCAAGCTTTTGGAACCGACGACTGATGTTACCTAAAACTTGTTGTGCAAGTTAAACCAAAAATAACTAAGTCAAATGATAACTGAGCAATCTCTCCATTCTCCGT